TTTGCTCCATCCCTCTGAACTTGTTCAGAAAGAACATATTTATTTTAGGAGGGGGAGAAAAAAAAAAACCCCAATAAAACCTCTGGGGAAGCGTCTTAAACTGATTAAAAGGGATGATTAAAAATTCAATATACAGCATTTGTTCACGCTCAGATGAGGCACTGGGAAGAAGGGGTTGAAGCAAACAAATCTCCCAGAATTACCTTGGCTTGATGTGGAAACCTTGGCAGAGAAAATCCCCATTTCTTCCTGCTCTTTGTCTTCTAGGGAAGAACTCAAATAACCCAAATTTACAGTAAAATAAAATAAAAAAAATAAATCCTTCCCTGATTTGCTTTCCTTTTTATTTCCCAGCCCCATCAGCACCACGATTTTTAATGTAACTTTAGTAATATTTTACTAATGTAATTTTAGCAATATTTTTCTCTTACACAAGAAGTTTCCAGTGTTAGAAGCTTAATTTTTTTCCCAGCTGGGGCAGAGTTTTAAATGGATTTTTTTTTCACTTTCCAGTGTTGTTTCCTCTTCTTTTACTGAGTCTGTTGCTGTGGAAGGCAAAGCAAGAGGAAAAGATGCAGCAAGATGAAGAACCCACTGCTGAGAAGCTCAGAAGGCCCTTTGTACATTATATTAAATCCTGTTCTGCAGCCTGGAATGGGGTTTTATGCAGCAAGAGCTGCTGTCTGTGCTGTTAAAATTACCTGATTTTGGGTGTAGTAATTGTCCTGGAAAACTGAGAGGAATTTGTTCTCCATGTCCAGGTTTGTCCTGTTTAAAGCCAATAATTAAAAAGTCATTTAACAGGGATTTCTCCCTGTTTGCCTTGGGTAGATTCACTTCCAGCTTTTTCACTCATCTGTTAATCCCAGAATTCTCTTCCCTGGTTAAGGGATATTGTTTGTGCCCTTCTGTATGATTTTAAATAAATAGATTTTTGCAGTATTTGCTTAAAATGTTTAATAAAACCACTCTCTGCTTACCTGCATTGGATCTCCAGGTTAAAATCTCTGGGTATGGGTGGAGCATGTTCTAAAAATGTTTGTGGTTTTTTTTTTTTCTGGAAATAATGGAAACTGTGAAGTCAGTGAAAAATTTGTGAGTGTTGGGAGGTAGAAGAACAACATCAGTAAAAAAAAACCCCTTAGTTAAATACCCACGAAATTATTTAATTCATTTATTAAATCACAGAAAATTAGGATTAAATAAATGAAATTATTTTTAACTGCTGCTGTATCACACCAGGCAATCAAAGATGTCCTTTGTGCATTCAGGCACGAAGAGCTTTAAAAGCTGAGGCTAAAAAATAAAGTTTTGCTGCGTCCCAAGGCTTGGAGGAGCTGATTTGAGGCTCATTTAAAGCCACGTTTTGCCCTGGATTTTAAAACTGATGTTTGCTCCCAGGAAAAAAAAAAAAAAAATCCAACAGCAGTCTGTCCTGTTGCTGCATGCAGCTCTTTTATTTTCATTTATCTTTACAGAAATGTGAAGCATCTTCACAATAATTGTACAAAACCCTCTCCCCTTGGCTGCGTCCCGGAACAGCTCCCAAAATTCGGTCTCCGAGAGGAAAGACGGGAGTTTCACCTCCTTGTTGCTGCTAAAAAAATTCCATGCAGGAGCCGACCTTGAAATACAAACATCATGTTCTAGAGAGATTAAATAAAAAGGGGTATAACAGGAAATAAATATACTTGTAATATTTAATGCAGGATATATGGATTTAGTCCATATTGAGCGTATCGGGCGTTAGTGGACACGTAACATGCTGCTGGAAAACCCCAAAAGATCCCAGCTGTCCTCGTTTCTGCAGCTCCCCAGGGCCTGTCCTGCCTCTGCATCAGAGCACAACTATTGCCTTCAGAAAATCAGGGTTTTTTCCAAGTGGTTGGAAGCAACAACCATCCACAGAAGGTCCTTGTGCTCCTCTCCCAAACAGAAACGACTCCTGTCGCTGCTCCATTAAAAAAATAAAATACTTCTGTTTTTTACATTAGTATTGTAACTGAGGCTAAAGAACTAGAAAAAAAAATTACCTCTTGGTTCTCAGACTTGCCTTGCCCATGGGTGAATATCTACAGGGGGTTGTTCCTCCATCCCAGGAGGAGTTTGGCTGGAATTTTACACCGTAGGAAGAACAACCCTGTGGAACAGGGAGCGCCCGCCTGGAATCCAGGGATTTATACACTGGCCATTGTCAAAATATGGGAATATTGAGGGTGTATTGGGAGGATCACAAACCATGGAGAGCCTTTAGTCCTTTTGGTTTGTGGCTTCCTCTGAGGTTGATTTATCTCCTGGGATTAAGGAAAGACCTCGTGTGCCCGGTGAGGGAGGAGAGGGACCCAACACTCCGATGGAGCCTCTGGAACAGGGACTGGGCCACATGGCTGACCTGGATGCCTGGGGCTGGGGAGTGAAATTTAAAGTAATTTAAGGGGTTTTTTTATGGAATTTAAGTGCCTTGAAATGAGAGGGTTTAGCTGAGGAGCTCTGTTTGCTTCTCGACACCCACCAACACTGTGCTCACCCTGTCCTGCCCCCCAGCAGCCAGTCAAACAAAAATACCCACCTAAAAATCATATATTCTGAGTAAACACATGCAGACAATCACAGGTGTTATTTTATTTGGGATCTGGGTTTCTTTTTAAACCTGTAACCCTGCTTTGTTCCACTGTCCTTTGGAAAGGTGGGGTTTGGAAAACGCTCTGTCTCAAATGTAGACAATTCAAGATATAAAAGCTCAACGAGGCATTTTTGGGGTGATCAGAGCATCTTGAGGCTTTACATTAACACAGAGCCAACGTGTGTTTTAGTACTTCAACCCCTCCCACTTTTTACCCTTTTTTTTTTTTTCATTTGAAGTGACAGATTTGGCACGTGAAGTTACGAGCAGAAATAAATAAAACACGAATATGCCTTAACCAAGTAGATACAAAATTAATAACTGAAAAAAAAAAAAAAGGCAAGAGAAAAAAAAGGTAATAAAACAACCCCCCCAAAAAAAACATTAGAGACAGTTCTGTTTGTGCCCAGAGCTCAGTGGAGTGGGAAGGTTGGACTTTGCTTTTCCCTGTGGTGCCTGTCCAAGCCCGGGATGTGCCATCACCCAGGGTCTCCTGACCAGCACTTCAGGAAAAAACAACAGTAAATAATAAAAAAAACAGACCCCAAAAACCCCATCCAGGCACAGCAGGTCTCTCTCAACACCTTCTCAAGGTCCTACCTCGGCACAGGTCCTACCCTGGGCATCCCCAATTCTCCCCCAGCGCCACGGGCAGGACGGGCAGCACATCCCCATGGGCTGGGGCTGTCCCAGGGCATCTCCCCCCAACTGTTAAAAACTGTCATTTTAAGCAGGTTTTGGCTTTTTTTTTCTTTTTTTTTTTGTAAACATTTTGTGGGGGTGTCCTGGGGAGCAAACAGTGAACGTTAATGACAACAAACCGTTCAGCTGGATGCAGATGGGACTTCACGGCCATGTTGTGCTTTCCAGGCTTCTTGTTGAAACAATAAAAAAAAAAGAAACTACATTGGAGTTTTTTAGATATGAACATGAAAGCATATAAAGTTAACCCTGCCTCGGTCAGTTGCTTGGCAGGAAAATAAACCCTTTCCATGTGTGCAAAAATAGATGGAAAACACATCTGGTGCCTCCGCTGCCGCCGGGTCCCCGCGGGTGGGCGATGCTGGACGTTCATGCACCTCTGCTGCAGGCAAAGCCACAGGGATGGGGGGGATAAAGTCAAACAGGGATGGCTGGAGCTGCTGGGGGGTCATGGTGGGTGAGGGGGGGACAGGCAGAACCCGCTGCCTTAATGGTGTTATTGATCTGTGACTTCAGGGAGGGGAAAGACAAAAAGCCATGACTGGGACAAATGGGGGGAGTTGGAGCCCAATCTGCTCCTGGATGGAGGGGAAAGGGTTGAGCTGAGCTATCAAAACGCCACAGCCAGTGATGTGTGGGCCTGGGCACTCTGCCCCATCCCACCCCCAGGACAGCAGCAGCAGCAACAGGGGACACAAACCCAGGGGCACCGTGCCCGCAGTCGGGGCTCAGGCTGGGCACGTGTGCCAGGAGGCACTGCCGTGGGGATGGCACGGCTTTGGTCACCCGGGCTCGGCGTGTTTTGGTTTGTGAGATGACACAAAGTGCTGGAGGCAGAGCAGCCCCTGCCATGGCACCGGTGGGGGCTGCACTGCCCCGTCCCATCCCTCCCACGGCACCCGTGGGTCCTTCCCAGCGCAGCTCTGAGCGCTCCTCGCGTGGACACCCGGCACAGAAACCCAACGGAGGGTAACGAACATGAGCTGGGGGAAAGAGCACAAGTTTAGGGACACAGGTGACACCTGTTGAAGGAGGAGGAGGGTTTCGGTGCAGTTTTGCTCTCGCATTGACCAGCCCCACCCAACATGCCCCTTGTGGGGCAACACCAGACCCAGCCCTGCTCTGCGGGGGCACCGGGTTCGGCCGCGTCCCCCCGGCCCCCGCGCCGACTCGCTCACTAGTTGCGGTATCGGTATAAAAAGTTAAAATCCATGGGGTGCTGCCACCAGCTGGGGGTTTGTCCAGCCATGGGGCTGTCCAGTCGTGGGTCTGTCCAGCCGTGGGTCTGTCCAGCCGTGGGTCTGTCCGGCCATGGGTCTGTCCAGCCATGGGTCTGTCCGGCCGTGGCTCTGTCCAGCCGTGGGTCTGTCCGGCCATGGGTCTGTCCAGCCATGGCTCTGTCCGGCCATGGCTCTGTCCAGCCGTGGGTCTGTCCGGCCATGGGTCTGTCCGGCCATGGGTCTGTCCGGCCATGGGTCTGTCTGGCTGTGGCTCTGTCCAGCCGTGGGTCTGTCCGGCTGTCCCGCCCCTCCCGGGGCTCCGGGCGTCCCTCCCACGGCGCAGAGCCAGGCTGGGCATGGCCTTCCTCCGGCCCCCCGGCTGCCCCGTCCTCTTCTCCGCCGCCTGTCCCGGAGCCCTGTGGCCCTGGTGGGGGCTCTGGGCGCGGGGGGGCCGCTCACAGCTGGGTCTCGTCGCGCGTTTCGGGGTTGCTGGAGCCCAGCTTGTTGCTGCAGCTGCTCTTGCGGCTGTGGCCGTCGTTGGCCACGTGGGCCAGCGGGTCGGAGCGGATCAGGTACCTGCGAGACACGGCTTGGTTACACCTCTGGGACCCTCCAGCTCCCCAGTACCAGGAGGGAGCTGTGTGACCCCTGAATTGGGGTCTGGCCCAGCCCTGAGGCCGGGATGTGCCCCACGGTGCCATGCTGGGAGCTGCTGCTTGCAGAGCACGGCAGCTGTTAAAATAATAGGTGTTAAATAATAATAGCTGTTAAAATAAATGCTATAAAGTAATACAATAAATAATCAGGAGGTGTTCCTCCTGGAGCTGCACGGTGGCAAAAGCCAAAGGAAAAGCTCCACGTTGCTGGGGCTGCAGTGGTTTGGGCACTGGAACACGGGGAGGGGGAATGGCCTGGGAAGGAGCCAAAACCTGCAGGTATTTATGAGAAATCATGGAAAGCAAGGCAGTGGGGGTTACCCCAGGGCACTGTGCTTAGTCTGGGGGCACAGGGAGCCCACAGGTGGGTGGAGGCAACACCTACACGATGTCGTTGAGCTCCAGCCGCGTGTCTGGGGGAGGGTTGATCAGGACGTAGGACAGGGTGTTCTGGTGGTCGTTCATCTCATCTGTGAGAGGAGGGGAAAGAGCTGGTGAGGGAGGGACACCCCGACAGACACCCCAACAGACATGCTGACAGACACTGTCCTGGCCCTTGCTCCCCCAGCAAAGGGGTCCCTTCACTGGGAAGAGCCGTGGGCAATGGCACTGCCAGCGGGAGAGCACCAAGAATGTCACTGCCACCTCCCTCCACACCTCCCCAGCCTCTCCCCCGCCACAGCACGGCCCAGGGGACTGACAGATGTAACTCCTCAAAGTCCCCACTCCCCCCCAAAATAAAGTGAGATGTCTTACCTTGGTTCAGTGCAAAAGAGGGAACAGGTTAGTCCTGCTGCGTTAGGTACAGCACAAGTCCAAGACTGCATCAGGGCAGCCAAAATCCCCCCGGGGCCTCAAAAACACTCTGCCCACCTCTCCCCCTTCTTCAATGACTCAATTTAGCATCAATCCAGCAACAGGATTAATTCTTTCCCCTGCCCAAGGGAAACTGCCCCCGTGGAGTTTCAGAGACGTTGATGCCATTTGGGGACGGCTCTGAACCACAGTGACCTCCCGGGGGGGCTCGGGGCCACCAAGAGCTGCAGCCACGGACATCCACGATGCCAGGTGGGGCCCCTGCGCTTCCCGAAATAGCCAAGAACAAGATCATGGTGAAATGGATGGGGGTGCGAGGCTGCGGGCGGCCAGGAGGGGGGGGAAGCTGCGACAGAGAACACGGTTTCCAGACGGGGTGATGGGTGTGGATGGACAGGATGGAGAGGGGACGGACAGATGGACGCCGGGGCAGCGTGAGGAGCACGGCGGGACACCAGCTCACTGCAAGGCTTGTCACTGGGATGCCTCTTTTGGAAAGGCCTTGGTGTTTGATGATCCCAGAAAATGGAGCTCGGTTTGGGGGCAGCAGGACAAGGACCTGGGATCAGCATCAACTCCGGGCTGGGGGGGGCAGCTCCCGGCTCCCTGTCCTGCTGCTCCCCCCACCCCATCCCTGCTGTGCCCCTGCCTGGGGTGGAGGGGGTCCCCCTGTCAAAGGCTGCCCTGCCCCGTGGAGGGCACAGCCGGAGTCTCCTGCCACAGCAGTGCCAGTGATGCCCCATCACCCTGGCACGGGGGGGAGTGGTCCAGCTGCTCTTCAGCCCCAGCACTGGGGTGAAACCTTTGAAGTGGGGCTTTTCTCCAGCTGTGGGATGAGCCACAGCAGCTCCAGCCTCCACAGCCATCCAGCACAGGGGTGCAAACAGGTTCCTCCTGAGCTGCCTTTGCCAAGATGCATCCAGACGAACCCCAGGGCACCTCAGGCAGGTACCACACGCAGCAGTGCTTGCAGGGGGACACCAGCCCCTCGTTTTGCTCCTCAGACACATCCCTGGCACCTCTGAGGCCACAGAAGGTGCTGTAGCTGGGCAGGGAGATGTGTGGGACCTCCGACCTGTGCCAGGGTGTCCAGCCCCAGTCCCCTGGACCTTTGGCCATCCCAGTGCCCAGCCTGACAGCGAGACAGGGACAGGGGTGGCAATGCTGGGGCAAGGGGGGCACACAGACCCTGGGACCCCACGGCAGACACGGGGTTTGACATGACGGGAGGTGGGAGGGCCCTGGCTCGTGGCAGGTTTCCCTGCTCCATGGAAGCACCTTTTCCTGACCCCCATGCAGCCAAGCCAGGCACTCTGAGCACACCAAGTATATTGCTCCATCATCCCAGCGCCCAGGGCAATATACTCTGCTGGAGTGGGGCTTCCATGAGCCCCAGCTGGGGCTGCCTCTCTGATGAAGGACACACTTTACAGGAAAATGCCAACGTTTCACCTTAAGCGTGGCCTAGTGAAGCCAAAAATACAGCTGGGTTGGACTATTGCTAAGCTATCACCCCTCAGCTCCTGCAGACCCCAACAAGGTGCTCAGAGCAGCTGCAGCACCAGTGGCACCTCGTGCTGAGCCCAGTCAGAAAACAGGGTCTGCCAATGCTGGAGAGGGGTCCAGGGGGGCAAACCGAGGGGTGTAAAGGGATTTTGAAGGGGTGCCTTGCCCCTGGGGTGACCCACATGCACCAAGGTGCAGGAGCTCCAGCAGCTCATCACGACATGCGCAGGCAGCTCTGCTGTGCTCGTCCCCTCCTCGAACTGCCACTGGCCTCACAGCCCAAAGCCACCTTGCAGAGCCATGGGGGGAGGGTTCTGTTAGAGACAGCGAGGGCTGTGATTTCCCTGTAGGAATTCAACTAGAAAAGGGTCCCTGAGGTTTCTGTCTCCCTGATTTAGTGAAGCCCTGAGTTTGCACCACCACTACAGGCCAGTGCTTTGATTTCCCATGCCACCCAACAAATTAGTGCTGAAAAGCTCAGGGATCTAAGGTGAAAACTGGCAAGGGTGAGGTTTGGGCTTAGCTGGCATGATCTTGTTGTACGCTGCACGCCATGAGTCACGCGGGACTCCCAGGGAAAGGGAATTACCTTGCAAATATCCCAGGTTTACCCGATTCATCACATCACTGGCTGTTAAATTTGCTACATCCTCTACAGAACATACAGGGAAAGGCACAGACATAAACAGAGAGAGAGAGAGAGGTCAGCAAGCCATGGTTCGGCAATATCAGAGACGAGCTCCTGCGCTGCAGCGATAACATGAGCAAAAGAAAAAGGAGAGGGGCAGAGGGCAGAGCAACGTGTGCTTCCAAAACACCACGGGTGGTCAGACACTGACAGTGACACGTGGGGACAACACACAGACAGCCCCAGCACCGCTGGGTGCAGAGGTGACACAGGGGCAAAGGAGTTGAGGGTGCCCCAGTGCCCTGGTCCTCTCCCACCCCGATGGGATGTGGGTCCTGCACCCCCCCACTGCCTGTTCTCCTGCCAGAGATCCCCCAGTTTGCTTTCACTGAAATTTTCCAGGACAAGGATGCCAATTCTGATCTAAACCCCAGGATGTGCCCTGAGCACTCCAGTGGGGCTGATGGTGGGGTGACCCCTGAGAAGCCTCACCAAGGCCAGGCAGTCCCCCTGAAACTACAGCAGAAACTTCTGGGACCAGGAATGTAGGGAAAAAAGGAGAGGGGGGATACACCACTGCAAGCCTGGCATTCCCTGTGCTTCCTCCATCCCACCTCAAGCTGGCTCTCCTGCCTCCCTCCCTGGGAAGGCTGGTGGCACCCACAGCCCGCCCCTGGGCCCTCCACTCCAAACCCCCCCTGCACTGCACTTTACATACTCTCCTCCTCTTTCATGTGCCTAAAGCCAAGATGGGAAAAGAGGGATCCCACCCCCCAAAAGTCTCAAAACCAGCTCCCATCCCAGCTGGGGCTCAGTGCCAGCCTGAGTGCGGGCAGGGGCCGGTGCGGGGTGGACGGACTCTCTTGGAGGATGGAGCAAACAAGCAGCAGCACAGGATGGCTTCAAAGAAAGAAAGGGAAAAAAGAAAAGACCAAAACCAAAACCAAACCCAAAGCAAACAAACCAAGGGGAGCTGTGGGCTACAGACTTTGTCATAACCAAGGGGTGGGGAGTCGTCCGGGGGGACACAGACGGCAGCACCGACGGGCAGGTCAGAAGCTTCACGAGAAATGCAGCTGCACAGAGGGACCCTGAGCACTGTCACAGCCAGACACCGGTGTCACACGCCATGAAGCAACTCAGCCCTGCAGCTACCGAAAGGTTTTCCACGGAAGAGTTTATGACGGATTCAAGTGTCTACAACAACCGGGGTCTGCGCCATCTGATGGGGTTTCACCTCTCCCTGCCGCACTACAGGGGCTCTCTCGGGCACAAGGGCTTTGCTGACCTGGGGTCGGTGTGTCCTGAACCACCAGAAAGTGGGGGGCAAGCGGGACATCTCCCCCCGAGGCTGCGCGGGAGCACCTGGTCCTGCTGCGGGCAGGAGGGTGAGAGCCACTGCCACTGCCAGCTCCTGCCTGGAGCCATCCCAGAGCCCAGAGGTGGGGGGGTGGCAGGGCAGGGGGGGCTGCGTGGCGGGACCCCAGCCTGGAACGCCGCACAAGCACAAGCAAGCTGGGGAACGAGGCGCCGCTCGGAGTAGGCCCGGCAGCGCCTGCGGGGATAGGCTCGGCGCGGGGCTAAGCTCGGCACGGGTTTAGGCTTGGCGCGGGGTTAGGCTCAGCTTAGGGTTAGGCTCAGCTTGGGTTTTAGGCTCAGCTTGGGGTTAGGCTCAGCTTGGGGGTTAGGCTTGGCGCAGGTTAGGCTCGGCTTGGGGGTTACCTGAGGAGCCCGCGGGCGGGATGGGACGCAGCACCGCAGAGCAGCTCGGCCGGGCGGCACTTACCGTACCCGGTGGTGGGCAGGCCCAGGTGCTTCATACGGTTCTTGACGAGCTCGGACAGCTCCTGCCGCTCGGAGCGCCGGTACAGGCTCAGGCGCTGCTGGCTGATCCACTCGGCCGTCTTGCTGGAGTGCTTGTTGCCCTTCCTGCTCAGCCGCCGGGCCCACTGCATGCTCTTGCGCCGCAGCAGGGGATGCTCCGACTGGTCGCTGGAGCACGAGTTCCTGTGGTGGCTCGTCTTGATCCCCCAGTGCTCCTTGATGTCCTTGGTGTCCTCGCAGTCCTCAACATTGATTGAGATCTGTGACTGGAAGCCCGGCAGGTCACGGGGGTGGGGGAGCCAAGAATGGCTTGGCCTGTGGCTGGTGGGGCGGGATCTCCCCCCACCCCCCCGTGGGATGGGATTCTTCCTCTGAGCCACCCCCACCCCTCCCAGCACTTCACCTCTGTGCTGCAAAAACTACCTGGCTGGCAGATTTCACAGAATCATGGAATGGTTTGGGTTGGAGGAGACCTTAAAGATCATCCAGTTCCACACCCTGTCATGGGCAGGGACACCTTCCATAGACCAGGTTACTTCAAACCCCATCCAACCTGGACTTGAACACTTTCAGGGGTGGGGCAGCCACAGCTTCTCTGGGATAAGCACTGTTGAGTGCTCCACAATTACCTCTGTGATATCTGCCATGCCCTCATCTGCCTGTCTTTCCTCTCACAGCAGCAATGCTGCCACATCTCCGACCCAGCAATCCCACTGGTGAGCAGGAATTTATTAATAAAGCCCTTCAAGGCCTCTCAAAGAGTTGGGCTGCGTTTAATTAAATGTCAACTTTCGGCTCCCTGTCGCTGCTTCCTACAAAGCTGCAAAATGACAGTGTTTAAGAGGGATCCCGGCTCACTTCCTTGCTCCTTATCCCAGTTAATTACATGTCAGGGCACTGAGGACTTTTCCCACAGTGCTGAGTGAGGCTCAGCCAGCGTTGCCCTGCCATGGGGACGGGCAGTGCCGTGCCGGGGCTGACAGCAGGCACAAGGCACATGGTGGCTCTCGGTGGCCAGAGCTAGGACAGCACTTGCCCACAGATCAGCCCCTGGTTAGAGAGGGCCAGAGGGCAGCACTGACACCAGGGCAGTGCCCCACAGCACCCGAGTGCCCACGGCGGGACGCGAGCGGCACTCACCTGCGCTCTGATGTCGTGGGGCTGCAATGGGGGGAAAAGAAGGGAAAGCAGAGTCAGCCTGGCAAAGGGACAGCCCTGCTGTGCCCCCCTGCTCCCTGGGCGCCCGGTGGCATGGCAGAGCTCTGCCAAGGACATCCCTCCCTGCCCACGCTGCCCAGAGAGACGGGCACTGACACCACCCCCAAAACAGCCACAGGGCTGTTGACGAAGGGAAGGTAGAGCTTCCCCTCCCCTCGTCCTCCCACCACTGCTGAAACCAGGTCCGAGGGGCCCCATGGATCCCACCAGCAGCCCCTTCCTGGCACACGCCACCACTGTGCCCGTACCTCAGAGGTGGCGAACATGTGCGACTCCGTCCTGTAAATCCCGATGGGAATCTCTGCACTGGAGGAGCAGAGCTTCTGGAAGAGGCGGCCGTACGTCCGGATCCACAGGTCATCCTCAGTGATCTTCATCTGAGCAAGAGGGGACAAACATGAACCACAGAGAGCCCGCTGAGGAGCACCTTGGGCTGCTCCTGAGCTTCACCCCGGCTCATCCACGACAATCCCAAAGGCGAGCTGGACTCCACGAGAAGACAAGACCAGGAGCAATTTCTGATCTCAGCCTTCAGAACAGGGGCTGTGGTCCTTGGCAGCTCTGGGGTTTTTGGTAGCGCTGAGGTTCCCCACAACGGAGGGGAACAATGACTTGGCAGTGCTGCTCCCCCTGACTCCCCAGAATAGGGGAACCCCCCACACACATGTGCAGGGTGATGGATCCCACCAGATCCACAAAGACCTGGCCCGGTGGTTTTGACCCAAAGCGACTTGGCACTTACAGCACAGAGGTATCCAGAGCCTGGTGTGGTGTCGAGGCCCAGCAGCAACCGGGTGATGGTGATCATGTAATCCTTCACGAACGACTGGGGGAGACATTTGGGTGGGAACCCAGGGAAAAGGTTTGCTCAGTTATTCATTGGGAGGTGGAAAGGGGTGGCCAGAGCTGCAGGGGTGCATCACCCAGAGCCCACCTGGCTCTCACCTGGTAGAGCAGCGTGTCCAACATGCTGATGCTGAAGACCCTCCCGGCTGCAAAGGGCAGCCGGAACATGAAGGCCAAGTTGGACCCATTCTCTCTCTCTCTCTGGAAGAGGAAGGAGAGATGAGAGCACAGGTTGCACAGAAACGAGAGGGCTCATGGAAACGGGGAGGACACCAGTGTAGTGTTTCTGGTGGGTGTGACAGGAGGGAACCAGGGCACCAGCCTTGCACTGGGGAAAGAGGGTTTTTTCTCCATGGAAATGTGTGAGACAGGACTGGGTTTTCTGGACATGGCAAGAGCACAGGACTTTAGGGACCTCAAATGTAGTCACTGTCAGCAGTGACTTCCCAGGCCCCCCTGCAGGGGACAACCTTCTCTTACCTTTTCTAGTTTGGAAAGGGCAAGAGAGTAGCTGTCCTTTGCTCTGAACTGCATGAACCTCATGTTGGAGGGATGGGTCAGCTCCGTGATAATGCTGAGGCTGGGGAAGAGCCTGCAATGGAAAGAGACCTGTTGTCCTGCAGCTCACTCAGAGGTGAGGTCATTCCCTGCAGTTACAGCCTGAGGAGGACCAAAACCACCCCTGTGCCTCTTTGAGGACAGAAACAGCTGATTAGGAGCTGTTTTCTCAACCACAGATGTGTCCCACTGCCCACAGCCACCTCCCCGGCCACCAACACCCTTCCCGGGCTTGTCCCCAGCAGTGGTCAGTGGTCACCCCTCACCTGAACATGGTCTGGACGTTGACAATGGTCTTTGCATCTGCCATGTAGTCCTCTTCGGCGCTCATGGTGCTCTCCTTGTCCACCACCACCAAGTTGTCGGCGTAGATGATGCCACACTGCAGCAAGCTGTCCAGGCTGGGCAGTTCCCAAAGAGAAGAGCGCAGGGTGAGCCCTTGGGAAGGACACAGGGAAGCAGCACGCTGCGGCACACAGCGCTCCAGCCAGCCCAGCCTGCTCCCCACCACCAGCTCTTCACCTGCTTCCATCTACCAGGGAGGGGTTGGCACCCCGAGAAGCCAAGGGTGGGCTCAGCTCTACCGGTGCCAACCCTGGGGTTTCTCATGGGGTGACCCAAAAGTCTGGGCTGGGATAAATCCAACGCATTCAGGCAGCACCGTAAGTCACGACAGCCACGCACGGAAACACCTACTTGTCGATGGTGCCCTCCATGTAGTAAACCATGGGGAAACAACAAATGGCTTCCAGAAAGTGGTGCTCAGGCCTGGAGGGAGAGCGACAGAGAGCAAGGCGGTTCAGCAAGCCCGTGGGGCAAAGACAGACACAAAACCCAGGGCCAACATTAGCCGAGACACCCGTGGGTGGCACCGCCATTGCCCCACGCTCCCGCCCCACAGCATGAGATGCCCACAAGAACACAGGGAGGGCTCAGTGTGATGGAAAACATCCGTGGAAAAGTACTTGCTTGTTGTCCAGCAGCAGCACGATGGGGTTCAGCTCTTTGCGGGACCGATAGTAGGCCCGGAGGGGCACGATGAAGTTGTACAGCCCGTTCCCCGCCGTCTCTGCCGAAACGATGATCAGTTTGTTCTTGAACCCGTAGGCTTTGGCATCCTCAAAGCTGTTGTGCTTGCAGCCCTGTGGGGTGGGAGGCAGCGGGGGGACTCAGGGGGTGGCTCTGGGAGGCTGCAGCCCCTGGGCAGCCCCCACAGCCCCATCGTACCTTGTCCAGCCTCAGGCAGCAGAATGGGGCTTTCTCAGGCAAAAGGTGGCACAGAGTTGGGGAGCTCCCAATGTAGGGGGAGTTTGGGGGGTAACCCTTCACATACCTGCAGCAGAGAGAAAACCCAGCAGTGTGAGGGCACGGGGAGAGTGTCCATATATCCAAAACTCAGATGCTGGGAAAAAAACCATTTAACAGCACCAGCCCAGGATTCAAGCACATTGGTGGCAAATGCTCTGTAAAAATCTCCTGCAGCAGCTGGAAATTTTCCCAAATATACAAATATTTAGGAATGTTTTTTGCTATGCTAAGAGCCATGAGATTGTAAAGATGCAGGGCTAAAGCCCCACATTCCATGTTCCCAGTACAGGTAGAGAAGGCAGCAGACAGGACCACTGGAGGGAGACAGGGCAGTGAGGGCCAGGAGAGGACAGTGCTGAGCCAAATAAAGAAGCAAAAAACTTCATGGTCCATTTGTAGAGTTTGCTTTGGTGAACAGGTATTTTAAAAAAATCAACATTTGTACTTTTGATGGAACCAAAGGCAGAAATTTTCATTTAAAGAGCAGCTGAAAGTGGACATGAATTCCATACCAATTTGTGAGGGTTCATGGATATTCAGTAACTCCCCTCACGGCTGTGACACCGTCCAGACAGGAAAGCAGTAAGGTAAGTCCTTCCCTGGCTGTCACAAACTAACAAACACCTTAAAAGCTGTGGTGAATATCTATTTTGTATTTTTTATTTATGTGCAATGGGGAACAGGACCCTCTTCACATCACTGGTGAGTGGAGGAGGTGAGAGGAGTGATGGAACAACCTGCCCCTCCCCAGCAGCATCTGCCTTGGGGCAACTCTGCTGATTCCCAGAGAATTCTCCAAAGCAGCCCAAAAGGCTCATGGCCATGGGGACTGTCCATGGCACAGCTGTTTGTGTGGTCATGGAAAAACTGAGAGGGGCTGAGCCTGAGCATCCCTCGGGCACCACTGAGAGTACCACAGTCCCAGTCTCTCTGAAACTGGAATGAACCAGAGAGAACTGGATCCAACCAGAACAAAGAGGATCCAACCAGAATGAACTGGATCCAGCCAGAATGAACCAGCCAAGAAAGGGCTCAAGGAACAGAGAGTGACTCACTCCACAACTGCCGACCCCTCCTCGTCCGACTGTGTCATCTCGTCCTCGGACTGGTCGCTGAGCAGGTCGCAGGGCAGCAGGGACGAGGTGTCTGCCAGCTCCAGGACGGGGGCGATGCTGGGCCGGCGGTTCCCGGAGCCGTTCTCGGCCGGCAGAGTCAGTTTGCTGCTGTTGGCAGGGCGACATTCCGTGTTCTGCAGGTCCATGGCCACTGTACCTGGACGTGGTGGGGAGGGAAGCACGGCAAACACGCTCTAAGGAGGTGCAGAGAGCTGAGGGAGCGCCCTGGAGCCCTGCACAGGGATGAGGGACAGCCCAGGTAATGCTCAGCCATCCATGGGCATGGGGAGTGCAGGGAAAGCCCTCACCAGTGATCTCCACCTTGGCACTGGTGTGTGGAGCATCTCCCTGGGGGCACAGCTCAGCTGGCCCAGGGACTGTCCCTGTCTCTGTTGCCAGCTGAAACATTTGCCCACCTGCTTCTCACTGAACAGCAAAACCCGGCTCTGTGATGGTTTTTATCATTGTGATATATCTGTGAGATGAAAAGCCTCCAGCCTAACCCCTGCCTGCAGCTCCCTGCAGGCTCTGGGAGACACCAACCAGGTTGGGAACAGCCAATTTAAGAATCATGTCTACCCCTCACTGGGACACTGCCCTCCCCATGGACACCTTGTCACCCTGGTGGTCCTCAAGCCCCTAAGGAGAGGCAGGCAGGCAGGAATTCCCTCATCCACCTCCTGCACCCCTCCTGATCAGCTCCAGGTCTTACAAACACAGAATTGTTAAGGCTGGAAAAGTCCTCTAAGCTCACTGATCCCAACCATTCCCCCAGCACTGCCAAGGCCACCACTAAACGGCAGCCCCAAGTGCCACAACTACACATCATTTAAAACCCTCCAGGGATGGTGACTCCACCACTGCCCTGGGCAGTCTGTCCCAATGCTTGAAGGAATTTTTCCTAATATTTCTTCCAATGTGAAGAAATTTTTCCTACTATCCAATCAAGGGACAAGAGAGACTTCCTCATCCCGTCCTCCAGCAGCTTCCAAAAATCCAACTCACTGATGGACCATCCCACGAAGCAGAGCCCAGGCACTGGCCTTGCCAGACACCACTGCCCTGCTGGCACTCCCATCATTTCTGCCCCTTCCTTCACCCTTTGCCAAAGGTCCCTCTGTGAGGGAGCCGTGTTTGACGGGAACAGTGACAAAAGTGCTCAGCAGAGCTCTCTGCGCCTTGCTGGGGGATAATCTATGCAAATTGCTGCTCAGGAGTACAAACACATAAATTATTTGCCTGGAATATAACGCGCTCGTGTGGCGCAGCCTCCCCAAAACCCACTCTCCCCAGATACAAGCGGGAAGCAATGACTCATGGTATTCCTCATCTGCACAAATGCACCGCTCGCTGCAGAGCAAACGGCACTTTCCTGGCGTTGGGAATCATAAACGTGATTTAGGACGTGGCCAGTGGCGTTTCTTCCTCCAGCCCTGGAAATAATTGGGGGCTAAATCCAGGCTTGGGGGGGTTTATGCAAACACCCTTAATGATAATGGACATCGTGAGGTTTAATAATGATATCTGAGCTCGCTGAGGGCACCCAGGGTGCCAGGAGACGTGTGTGTTTGCACTGGTGAGGTGACCGGGACGGGGGGTGCAAAGGGGTTTTTGGCACTGGTGGGGGAGAGGGCAAGGAGTGTGCAAGAAGCAAAACAAAACCAAACCTGGGAAAGGAAACGAACCCAAACTTGAGGAGGGCAACAGGGGTGTGTGTGCAGGCTCCCGCTCCCCTCTGCCCACGAGCCCCCAGCTCACCCATGCTGGCGATGATGCTGTGCACGGGCAGGCGGGACGGGCCGTCGTAGTTGCCCCTCCCCGCAAAGCCCTTCTTCTTCTGCTTCTCCTCCTGCTTGAAGATGAAGGCAGAGTTCTCCTCCTTGGTGATGTTGATGTAGAAGCAGGTGTCGGATGCTGCCATGATGTGCCGTGGGCCGGGGTTCAGCAGGATGCTCTTGTTCTCCTCCCTCCGGATGCCGATCAGGCACACGCCGTACCTGCGCCGGGAGCACGAGGTGGGAATTTGCAGCTGGAGAGAAACCCCCTCCGGGGCTTTGCCCCTGCACAAGGGACCCCACAGCGCCCTCCTGACCCCCAGGGATGCAGACTGGCAGGTATCTCCTGCCCACCGTTGCCCGTTGCCCCCCTGCCCTCACTTCTTGTGCGCGTGGAAGGCGGCGTAGGTGAAGCTCTTCCCCTCGTACTCCATGAAGAACTTGCTGTCTCCCATGCGGATGTGATAGACCTCATTGCCCGAGCAGCGCCCGTACATCCGCTGCCACTGCTCCGGGGACTCCTGGCCCTCCCTGCAACGACAGCAGCAGCACTGGGATGGACCCCTTGGTGCTGGGATGGGACATCCCATACGGTGACGTCAGGTCAGGACACCCCGGCACTGGCAAAGACCCTGTCACCACAACCAGGGCAGGACACCCCTGGCACACCAGCCAGATCCCAGGGCAGAGCCTCAGGAAAGGAGCACTAATAATCTCTGAAGCTGCCACCGAGCCCAACAGCGGTGAGATGACAGTGGTGAGATGACAGTGACACATCACCACGAGCTGTCGGCGTTTGCTGAGGACAAGCTCGTTTCCATCCCGGGTTTTAAGTGCCTTTTTATTTAACGAGGGCCCCTGCAGAGTGCAGAGGGAGGTTTCAGAGCCCATGTTGGCAAACAGCTCTGAGCATGGGGTGAGAGTCATCTGGCAAGGATGTTTCATAACTGTTTTGATGGCACTTTACCCAAAATTCAGACATTTCTGACTGGCCAAGGAGCGCAGGACACGCACACCACTGCTCCACCAGGCTGGCAGAGCTCCTTCCAGCCATGCTGGATATACACCCACCAAAAAGCCTGCAGGGTCTGGGTATGCTCAGGCTGTGAATTCACCTTCCTGCCAGAGGGACTGTGCCAGCATAAAGATTTTTTTTTTCCCAGTCTCTGGAAAGCTGGCATTGCCCAGCCCATCTGCACTGGGATGGTTCCCCTACAATATGGCTTTTGCTACTGACCTGGAGGGGGGTCCCAGACCCACTGTGCTACCCCAAACACACCCCAGACCCCCACCTTATCCCCCTGGGCTCAGAGACCTCGATGCTGCCGTCCCTCCATTCTCAGGCAGGAGCAGGAGAGGCCGGGGTGAGGAGGGGAGGGGAGGGGTGGGGAGGGCAGGGGCAGCACTCACTGGCCACGGGAGGTGTGCACCAGCAGCGTGATGAGGGTGGAGGTGGCAGGGCAGACACAGTTCAGTGCCAGCATGGCGTATTTGCACTCCTCTTCACAGACAACGTGATCTGAAAGGCAGAGGGGACTGTCACAGCAGGGAGGGGGACGGATGGTTTCCCTGGCTGGCAGTGCCTGGGGATGTGGTAATTTTGGGGTGGTGTTGGGGACGGGGTGTTTCCTCGTCCTGCCAATCCAGGAGGGCTTTCAGCTGATCACCAGCTGAGGCACAGCCCCTCCAACTCACCTGCAAACTTGACATGAAATTTGTTTTCTGGCTTTAAGATCTGAACGTAGAGGGGACAGTTTGGAGCGAAGTCTTTGACAGCCCAGGCCCTCAGGATGGTCTGGTGGTCCTGGCCAAGGAGAAGAGCAAGAAGAGTTAGTTGGCTGATGGTTTATTCTCCCGATGCTTCTACACCTGATGAACTGCAAAACACCCACCACCCTGGAGAAGTACAGCAAGGGTTCCTCCAGCACCCGCTGCTAACAGGGGATAACTGTGCCCCAAAACCCAGCATTGACGGGAAACCAGGACAGCAGAATGACAGTGAGCCCACAGGGGGTCAGCCACCACTGTACTGCTGCATGTCCCTGTGCTGTCCCTGTGCCATCCCCGAGGCTCTCCATGGCACTCAACCCCATCCTCTTGTCTCAGCTGCCTCCCAGCACCCTCCTGTGCTGGGCAGAGGTGAGATGCATCCATCACCCCAGTCCCCACTGCCTGGGACACGAACTGTCTCAGACTGTGCCATCCCCTGTCTGGGCTCACCGCTGCGGTCCGGTCCACCTCATTCCGGCTGCTGAGGATGAAACAGGCTTCTCCATTGTCCATCCTGCAAAGAGAGAGCAGTGACCCCATGAACTGCATGGGCCCACAAAGCTGGGCACTGCCTGCACCAGCCAGGGCGCTGCCAGACCCCTCCCAGCCCCCAGAGAAGGGACACCCTCATTGCACATCTGGGGTGACCTCACTGGGGACCCTCCTCTGGGGTGCCGGGACCTGCGGGCAGCTCAACAGCGTGGCAGGACCAGCCTCACTGGGGGTGTGCAGGGCTGCTCACTTGGCTCTCATGAGGTCCTGGTCCTTCAGTGCAGAGCCCTGGAGGTAGATCACTCGCTGCGACCACAGAGGGATCTGCAGGACCCGCCGCACCTGGATGTCCATCTCTGTTGGGCAAAGGATCACCACGTAGTAATCCTGGAAGAGAGAGGTCGGCGTGGGTCGGTGGGTCCCCAGCCCAGAGAGGCCGTGAGTCCAGCACCGTGGGACAGCACGCCTGGTCCTCACCTGCAGGCGTGGGTGGGCATAGAACTCGTTGAGGAAGTCCATGAGGAGATCAATCTTGAGGGAGCTGACGCAGAGCACGACGTGTTTCTCCGTCTGGGCGCGGTGCCGGCTGTAGTTGCCGCCCGACTTCTGCCGCTCCATCCACAGGTAGACGAGCTCCTCGAACTGCAAACGGAGGCAGAGAGCTGATGTCCCCGTCGGCAGGGCTGCCCCGGGGCAGGCTCTGCGTGCCTGTCCCTCCTCAGCCACGCAGGTCTAACCTGGAGCGGCAGCACGACCAGGGCGACGCAGATCATGATGACGACGAGGAGCTGGGAAGGCCAGATCTTTGGTGTCACATCTCCGTAGCCCACGGTGGAAAAGGTGACGATGCAGAAATAGAAGGACTTGAAGAGGGAGAGCTTCTCACCTGCTCTTTCTAAATGCTGGATGCCACAGGTCCTGCAGGGAGAAAGCCCCATCACAGCCCAGGAGACAGGGCAGCACAACCCCACAAACCTGCAGCTCGAAGTCATCCTGCTAAACAAAAGTGTCACCTCAGTCTTGCTGGACCAGAATTGTAGCCTCACCAAGAAACACATCCATGGCCCCAGCAGCAGGAGATGCCACAGGCCAGGGGCACTGCTGAGCTCCAAGATGGCATTAGTCACCCACATCAGAGCACCATCTTTATTGCCAAAACCTCATGAGCCTGAAAGCTTCATTTCCTCTCCGTTTAGCAACTTAATGGTGTAATATGCCTCAAATCCAAGCCAAGGGAGCCAGGGGAAGATTCAAAGCCTAATTTAGAGCTAAGTAGCCAGTGATGAGCACTGCACCCCCCACCCCAAAGGAATGGCCTTGTTGTTGGAAACACAGGGTAAAAGGCCCAGTTAATTAACAGGAGCCCCAGTGGCCTATTACACAGATTTGTGGGGGGAGGAAGAGCGTGGTGAGAGCCAGTGAGTGTGATGGGTTCTGGTCAATGAGCCGTCACACATCAGAGCCCACGTCCCTGTGGGAAGCTGCTGTCCCTGCTCTGAAACTCCTATCACCCTCTGAGAACACCCTCGTCCTCACACACGCCTGCTGACAAGTTTCTGTTAAAATCATAGAGTTAGGGAGGATAATGAGTTTGGTTTAGAACCTCCCTCCCGGTGTTCAGGGCGCTGGGAATGAAGCAAGGCAGGGAGGTGGCAGCCCTGCCATCGCCCTGGGATGGGCACAGCTGGTTTCCCTGGATGAGGAAGGGGATTTAGTGAAATGAAGAGCAACACTCACCCCGTGAAAACGAGACACAGGAGGGTGCAGATCAGAATGAGCACCTGGTTAAACATCGCAGACTGGGTCCTTTGGATGGCTCGGTGCAGGTCGTTCTGGGGAGAGAGGAGAGGGCTGACCCTGGCTCAGAAAGGCTGGAGGTACAAACTCCTCCAAGTGCCAGCTGTTCTCTTGGTGGCTTCAGCAGTGCCCCTCCAGATGAAGGTCAGGCCATTATTTGGCCCTTGGAAAGGGATGCACATTCCCATGAGCAGGTCTGGGATCTGCTGTCAGGAGAGACAGCTCGAGTGGGCACATGGGAGGGAATGTTTGAAATACCTCATCCCTGGCCATCCCTGTCAACATGCAGCTCCTGCTGCTCCTCCTCAGCAGGTCACAGCCTGGCATTCCCAGCTGGCAAAGCCTCACCTCCCACCAGCCCGGCACGGCTGCACACACTGATCACTGAAACCTCCTCAGAGTTGGGGATATCCAAGAGCTCCCCTTCCAATCCCACTGCCCTCCACATCCCCGAGGAGCTGGACAAAAGGGGTCACTCACTATCATGTTCTCCAGGGCGTACTTGGCCAGCCAGCAGTTCAGAAACACAGGAATGAACAAATTCCGCAGAGGAGGCCAGAATATCTACAAAAGCAAGAGCTGTTTGCAGAAAAATCCATGCTCTTTAAAAAAACAAAGCTATAAGCAGCCAATTCAAGCCCTTTCTGGAAGGATCCATATTCAGGCTGAGTAGAAGCCAAACACAGCCCTGCTCCCCTGGCTGCACCAGAGTAGCTGAAAAGGGAGAATGGATTTTGGGATAAGGCTCCAGAGAAAGTCATTATGTTGTAAAATATTGAAGGAAAAACTTCCTGGCAGCTTTAAATACTACTTGGCCAGACACACATTTTTCTTTATTTCATCTCCAGAACTACAGCACTTTAACTCCACTTAGAGTTGCTCTTAAATGTCACCGGGAAACACTCACCGTGATAATAAACGGCACCGTGTTGATCATCTCAAGGATGAAGGAAATGCGAAAAATCTGCTCCCAGATGTTCCCCTGAGGAATTAGAAACAAATAAGAATTAAATAAGCTTAAAACTTTCCCAAAGGACAATTAAAATGCTCCCTCTCTGCCACAGACCCTGCTATAGAAGGAAATATGCTTCAGGAACCAGGAAGATGCTCTGGTTTGCCTGCAGGAGAGATGCAGTGGTGGTGCAGGCACACTGAGGTCAGGAAACATTCCCAAACCCTCCAGTCCTCTCCACAGCCACTACATCCCTCTGTCTGTCACTGTTGCTGGGGGAAACAATGCTTCATGCAAGGAAAGAGAGTGAGAGTGACTGATACAAATCGCTGGCACTCAAACCAGGGTGTGACGCAGGGTCTGAGTCTCTTCTGCCAACTCTCCCCGGGTCCCCGAGAAGATGCCATTTGTTGAGGTCACTTTTTTTTGGCTTTTTTAAGGGGTTTTGGTCCAAAGGAGTCAGCTTGTTCCTCTCCCTGTCTGGCTTGGAGCAGTGCCCACGGAGGCAGCAGAGCTCGGCACAGGCAGGAGTCATGCTGCTGAGCTCAGCTCCAGCTTCTCAGCTTTAGGAATCTCAGCGTGTGTCAGTCTGACCTCCCTTAAAAACATGTGTAAAACAGGTCTGAATTTAAGGGAAAGCAGAAAAAGAAGATATTCTGCTCTGTACAACACTTATCCAGGAGCCCGAGGGGGAATGAGAAAGGGAAACAGGCGGAGCCAGCGCTGAGACAGCACCGAGACAAACATCCTCCTGGGACACTCCAGCTTCAGGCAGCTCAAAACAGGAGAAATGAATTCATGCCACGGGGGTAGGTAGAGCCAGGCTGTGCATCACTACCCCCTGCCTCCCTGGGCACTCACCTTGTAGCTGAGATAGATGAGCAGCATGGTCTCCAGAAAGCTGATGAGAGCGATGCTGACCTGCAGGGACACAGGGAAAGGCTCTGGGGGCTCTCTCTGGGCTCTGTCAGTCCATCAGAGCTCACAGATCCCCCCTTCCCCGTGCCAAGGGGAGCCCCTGAGTATCACAGGTGGGGCAGAGCTCCAAGCCCAGCTCCTCTGTGCTCCCCCACAACCATGCCAAGGGCTGGGCGCTCACCTGCACAGCCCACAGCGGTGTTTTTCTGTCCACCCAGAAGATGTGTGACCTGCAAAGAAAATCCCAAAGGGATCTAAGCTGTAGCCCAGCCACCAGTGTCGTTACCCCCCACTGAATGCAAACCCAAGGGCACTGGTGCAGGGTCAGCACAGGTACTGGTGCTCCCTACTGCCCAGTTTGCTCAAGCAGCCTCTGCACTGGGAATAAGGCATTCCCAAGGGTGCAGCCACAGGCTTTCGTCCATGGATTTGATTCTGGCATGCTGCTCCACATCCCTTGAGCAGCCCCAGGACCAAGAAATGGCCATGGGCAGCTGCCAGCAGCAGCCACCTCCATCCCTGCATTCCCACACCCTGGCAGGGCCAGACCCCAGCACTGGAGCAGCTCTGACTCACCAGTTTATGTTCGTGGACTGGTTAAATGCTGTGTAATTCTGCTTTTCACATTCCCAGCTAGGAGAGAAAGAGTGAGGAAAAGCAGTCAGGAACAGGGATGCTGGGATTGACCCCCCAGGCCCACGCGGTGCCCTCGTCGCTGGGTGCTGATGCTGGAGGAGGCACCAGGACAACACTTCCATGGATCCAAACACACTGATTCCCATAGCCAGGGCTTTCCACAGGAGTCTGTCTCACCCAGGCAGCCTTGAACATCTTATCACTGGAGAATAAAACCCCTCAGGTAGTTAAACCCATAGCAGAGATGTTGTGGGACATCAATATTCCTGAGGTACGGCGCTCCCTGGCACAGCGTGGAACACAGGGAACTGGGAATTACCAGGTTACAATTAGCAAAAGCTGCTGAGCTTCAGCTTCTGGGACAAGGTAGAGCATCCTGCCAGGCAGCAGCACCGAGCCAAGCTCTCCCTGCCTTGCTGCAAGGGATGTGTTCCCACTGGTCAGCCTTTATTCTGTCACACACTCTCAGAAAAAGTGGAATTCCCTGAGCTGCAGCTGCACTAAACCTTTCAAGGATGAGTATCCGTGTCCTGCTTTGTTCTCATGGGTTTGGAAGCACTTTTGGAACGTGCAGGTGCACTTGTTAGCCTGCAGCCTTTACACAGAGAAAATCAAACTGCCAATTGTCCAAGCTCTTGGAAAAAAAAAAAAGCACAATAGTTTGTGAGCTAAACAAAGCAAGGACATATTAAAAATAGACTTATACTGAAACTCAGAGCAAAGCTGATGTATGGAATCATCTGTCACCTCAAGGACCTAAACAGCACAATGTATTTCCCTCCCAAATGCTTAAATGGGATTTAATGTGAAAGTATTCAAGGGTATCAGTGTTCAGAAACTATTTGCATGGTGATGCACTCGAGTCGTGAGCTCTTGCCTGTGTCTGAAGGCCACGGTGCCCCCCTGGCCAAGCCAGACAGCACTTGGAAATGAATATGACCTGAATTCTTCCCCCACCCTCTCCCCCGTGCTCTGGGCAGGGCCAGCGAGTGCCCACACACCCATCCATGGGATTTGAGCAGGGAGCAAAGCCTTCTAACCTGGGAAGATTTGCTAAACCACCAATTCAAAGAGCTGGAGCGAGGAAAAACCATCTCCACACCCGCTGTGAGGGGTTGCCACTGCCCCCAGCCCTGCCCAGGGGCACTCACCAGCCTATGCCCTCCTCGGGGTTGTCGAGCAGGACACGGACGATGTACAGGAGGCACGTGAGCAGCTTCAGGGAGAAGTTGAAGAGCCGGATCCTCAGGCCTGGGGTGGAGGGGAGCATGGAATGGGGTAGGCAGCATTCTTGGGCACCCCAACCACCCCAAACCCCCTGGGCACCCCAGGCATCCTGGGTGCTCTGTGTACACCCTGGGCAGCCCCTGTCTCCCACAGCACCACCCCTGTAGCTTCCCACAAGCTTTGCACAGCCCCACCCACCACAGGACCCCTCGGAGCCCCAGGGCAGCACAGGAGTGTTGGTCACGCCTTGCCCAAGGCTCTTTGTGTCCTCCCCCGTGCCAGACACACAGGAGCCAAATACAGAAATAAATAACGATGAGTCAGCTCCTTGCTGACCCCAATAGATGTGAGAGACGAATGAGGAGCTGCTGGAGTGTGCCCCCCTCATTAGCAGGCATCCATTAAAAAGCACCAGACCAGAGCTCACCACACTGCAACCAGCTTGTAGGAGCAGGGACAGCGAGCAAAAACTGCTGCTTTATCCACTCTCCCTCCCAGCCAGTTCATCGGGTCGTTACTCAAATTACAAGTGAGAAATTCATCACATTTTCATTAAAAACTTCCCCGTGGGCACCCTGTTGTTCTGGGCTCCAGTTTTTTAACAAGACAACAGGATGCAGGGAGAAAAAAAAGAAAATGTGAATTTCTAAATTAACGAGCAGGCTCCCTCCAGACAGCTAATGATATCTCGGAGAAAGAAAATAAAAACACCATTAGTCAAGTGGAGGCTAATCTGGGTGGCTGGAGCAGGAGTGGGTAGCTCACAGCCTGCCCTGGCTGTCCCCACGGCCTCAGGGAAGCACATGGGGACACTCACTCCCTGATGGGGACCTTTGCTCTCTGATAACCACAGGCAGCTCTGGACACCCACCCTGTTCCCAGCCAGTCTCTCCAGTTGGTTCCTGTGCTGTGGCTGTTCCCAGGGAGCAAAGGTGGCAGGAGGCATCCCATCCTCCTCGTGCAACCATGTCCCCCAAGCCAAGTTGGCCAATACCCAACAGAAAGGCCGAGAGGCAGCAGCAGCCCCGAGCTGGGGACACAACAGGACATGGCCACCAGCAGATGGCAATGGCTTCTCATCCCACAGGGCTGGCTCGGGCAGGGTTTGGTTTCCCCCAGAACACACACACTCCATGCAGAGAGCACTCACTGGATCGCTGGTTTTTGATGAAGAAGAGCTTCAGCCGCTCCTTGAAGGTGTTTTCATTCACGTAGAACTCGACCTGCACCCTGCAGGGAGAGTGCCCGGAGGAGCCCGTCAGTGGGGTGGTAGGTCAGAACAGCAGCCCCCAGGAGCCCTGTCCCCCCCATCCCAGCTGGGTGACCACCTTTACAGCCCACAGACAATCCTGGACTCAGCCCCAGGCTCCCAGCTGCTCCCACAGCACCAAACCACCAGTACCACCAATACAGGATACATCAGTGACTGTCAAAGCAGCAGGTTTGACCCACGGGGCCAGGTCTGCTTTGGGCTGAGGGCTTTGCTTTCATTCCCACACAAGCTGACATCAGACCTACAAACTTCTCCTTCCACACACACTTTACAGTGTCCAAAACTTCTCAGAAAAGCAGTGGCCTTGGAGCAACCTCCCCCAGCAATGTTTTATCAGCTCCAACCCCCACAGCTGCAGCAGAGCAGGGGCTGGCAAGGGCAACGTCCCCAGTACTGCCCTGGCTCTGCCTGGGTAGGAAAAACATTCAGCATCAAAACTGTTAAAAATCAATTCAGCTCTGAAAGGAGAAAATTTCCCTTTGTTGCTAAGATACCACATTTGGTCATTCCAGAAAAGCCCAGGAGCTGACAACCAACTCCAAACATCACTTGGCATCTGGAGCCACTGGTGACTCGTGGCACAGGGACAAGAGTCACCTGCCAGGGCACTTCACAGGAACCAGCAGGGAGGAGCCACATTTCTGGTGAATCCAAAAATGTCCCATCCACTGCTGTGACCGCCACGGGCAGTGTCCCTTCATCGGCTTTTCCTGCCTCCACCCCTGACCCTCACCCACAGCCTTCCTGCCAGTCCCGCATTCCAGGTGGATGGGAGAAAACCTCACCAAGGCTGGAGGTTCCTCCCCATGGATATCAGCAGGGGCTGGGATCAAGCCCACCCAGATGAAGGGCGTGTGGGCAAAACCAGCCCCAGCTCAGCTCATCAGCTCATCGCCTCCCCCGGTACTTTATAAACACCTGCAGCCCTTTGCAAACCCACTACTGACCCTGGGCAGGTTGTAAATCACACTGGTCCTGCCAAGTGCCAGCAAAACGGGATCAGTTCCTCCTGCTCAGCTTCAGACTGAGCAAGACAAAGCCTGCTCATTATTAGTTCAGCCCATAATGGAGTTAAGTGCCATGAATTAGCCTCTTCCCCCGTTCACTGTATTCAACAAGTCCCTTAAGTAAGTGCTACTGTTATTACTCATTTTTTAACTCCATGGAAGAGCTCATCAAGACCTCATTAATCAGGCCTATCTCCCAGGCAAGGCACAGATGAGGGTGAGCAAGTTCCCCGTGGCAGTCATTAAACTGCCCAGGTTATTCTGTCGGGGCACACGTGGTGCCAGCTCCGGCCGAGCGTGTCCCTGGCATGGCCACCAGGTCGGGATTTATTGGGAAGCAGCTGCTCCTCGCTCTGACACAGAGGGATAAACAAATATTCACTGAGCATTAACACCCAGCTGGTTGGGAGGCAAATTGGGAAGGGGGTTTATGAGCCCCCTCGCCCTGGGCCCCACACCAGGCAGGAGGGTGGTCAGAGGGGTTTCCCACCAAACCTGGTGTTTGTTCACCATGAGAAAGGAACAAGGAGGCAGGTGGGCAAGGACAGACCCCGCTGCAGGGGGAGAGCAGGAGAATTTATGGGCCCTGGCTCTCCAGTACGATGCCTCAGGAGCAAAGAGCATCAAGGCAGACCTTCAGAAACCCAGCTCTAACACATGTCAAAATTAATCGTTTCCAAAGCCAGACTCGGCAAATAATTTTTCAGTGCCAGGGCATAAATCATCTGCCACGACTGCTCACAACACTGCACACAAGCTAATTGCTCCTTCTCCATATTAAAAATGCCCAGGAAATGCTGGGAACTGGCTTTCAGCTTGGACAAGAGCGCTGAGCACCCCATTCATCAGAGTCCCTCAGGATTAAGCGCCTTGAGGAGACGGAGACTTCAGGGAGCACGATTCCTCTCCCAGACATTCGTCTCTGTATCAAAGAAACAAACAGCAATATAAATCTCTGTCTCCAGCCAGATGGTTCACTGATCTATAGCTCTGCAGCCCACCTCGAGATGATGGATATAATTGCTGGTGAATAAAAGAACTAAATGATTAGATCTAACTTTTCATGACAAAGTAGCCCATGTATTCATCCATCCTCATGGCTGCAGGAGGGAGAACACTGGGAAAGCAACTCAAGTAGGTCTCAGGAAGGGGGGGAAAGGGGTGTTTATCACTGAAAAAGAATAAGGCAATAAAAGAATGTAGAAAGAACATGTTCCTGTGCAGATAATCTGCCCTCCCTGTGAGCTGGGCTGAGCCCCTGGAGCTGTATGGGGGTCCCACTCCAGCACTGGCACCTGCTCTGCAGCCAACACCCCACTGGCCCAGGGCAGAGTGAGGGATGGCTTTCACCAGGCAGCTGCACCATCCAAGAATATCAAAGCTCCTACTCCCTTCCCAGCTGAGGGAAGGAGGTGATATCACGTAAAACATACCCTCTAATTTCACTGTCAAGAATTAACTTGAAATAAAAAATCAAGCGAAACTCTGACTGCGTTGCCACCCCAAAACACACCCCGAGGGCTCTGCCTTCCCTGCAGCTCAGACAGGATGGTCTGTTCAAACTGCCCCCTCACTGCTGCCATGGTTGGGCATCCCCCCCACCAGGAGCATCCTTCCCACTGCCCAAGCATCCATCCCACTGGCCAAGCACCCCTGCTGCCAGTCAAGTATCCTTCCCACTGAGAGCAACTTCCCCTCTGGGAGCAACCTCCCCACTGGGACCATCCTTCCTACTGCCCAAGTATCCCTCCCACTGAGACCATCCTTCCCACTGGCCAAACATCCCTCCCTCCAGCCAAACATCCTTCCCACTGTGAGCATCCCTCCCTCTGGCCAGGCAGGGTGGTGCCAGCCCAGTCCAGGCAGCTCCAAGGGTCACCAGCAGTGATCCACCCTGCAGGCAGGGAGAGGCAGCACAGCACACCTCTGCCCCCCCTTTTTCCCCCCCTGAACCCCCCCCGGGGCCGTGTTGATAACGATCCCAGCACAAGTTTAGCTATAAACTCTGTTCTTGGAAGTGTAATTACTGCTATTATGCACTTCATAATGCCTGAGCGAGTTCATTCTCCTCGTTCCGTTATTTATTGTACTTTATTAATCTAAGATTAGAGGCAATTTGTTGTAAGATGATGAGTTCCCAAAAAAGACACAATAGTTTGTTCGGAAAAAGTGCAGGATGAAAGACCAGGACGAGCACATCCCACCCCAGTGGCATTAAAATAGACACCGAGGAGCACAGCCCTGGCTCTGCACCTGTACCCTCCCCAGGGAGCTGGGACAAGCACAGTTCTCTTAAAAAAGAGGGAAATACAAAAAACAGCAGCCCAGCTGCAGCCCCCCATGCAGGCAGTGCAGCAGGGACAGGGGTGGGTGGAGATGCCCCCCCAAACTCTGCATTCCCAGGGCACTTACATGGGCAGTCGGGCACAGGCAGCTCTCTCCGATCCCCACGGCACGTGACAACTGCTGGGCTTGGCCTGAAAGCTGAGACATCCCTCCCTCCCAGTCCAAAATCCAGCTCCAAAATCCACCAGCCAGCCAAGGGAAAGACCTGCCAGCTCTGCCCTGGGACCTGCCCCAAGCCACACTGCTCCCTTCTGAAGGACTTGGGTGCCCCAGGTTGTTTTTACTGTGTTTTATAAGACACCTCTTGCCACGAGAAATGTGGCTTCAAATAAATATTCCCCTTGACAGGAAAGAAAAAATCTTAGTTTTTTGCTCCTTGCCCTCACACTTCAGCTGGGTGGGAAATGCTGTTTCCAACAGAATCCTAGAATGGTTTGAGTTGGAAGGGACCTTAAAGCTCACCCCATTCCAACCACCTGCCATGGGCAGGGACACCTTCCACTAGATTAGGTTGCTCCAAACCTCATCCAACTTGGGACAATTTCTTGTCCCAGGAAATTTCTCAAGAAATTTCCCCCATCCTGTAGCAGGATGCAAATGAGACTCTTCAGAGATTTCTTGGGGGAAAAAAGAACAAACCAACCCACTGGTAAAATCCTGGAAATCTCTGCAATACTCTGCCAAGGCAGTGCAGTCCCAAGAGAGACCCTGCTCTGAGCCCCTGCTCTGGCTCAGCCCACAGGACAGCTCTGCGTCCTCTGTGCAAATCCACCTGGATCAAATACATCAGAAACGTTGCTGTGGCCAAGTCTGGAATTAGGGAAGTGTGTTGCTGGCCCAGGGGGGCTCCCCAGAGACTGTGCCAGGCACAGCTCCAGGCAGAGGAAGGTGAGGAGCAGGGCTGGAAGCTCAGGGCTGCAGTGTTTCCTCTCCCAGCATCCTGTGGCACGAGGAGCAGCAGAGGCTCCTGTGCAAAAGGCACGAGGATGCTGTGAGGGCACCGTGCCATGGCCAGGCTGCCTCCGGTTCTGCTCAGCCTCCGGAGCATCTGGTGCCAGCCGGGCCCCACGGGCAGCAGGGGAACCTGAGCTGAGGCCAAGTCCTTCCCAAATCCTTCCCAAACCACCAAATCAGCCAGCCTGAGGCTTAGGTACCTGCTGATGGCAACCACACTGACCACCCAGGCACATCTCCTGCACCTCCAGCCCTCCCGATTCCCCTGGGGATGCTCTTTCCTTTTTTCCCCCCACTGTTTTCTTGCTGCTAACAGATGTTTGGGTACAGAAGCTACAGTGAGACAGATGCCACACTGAGCTTTGCACACTGACCCCCTCTGTGATCCGTGTTTGCCATCCTCTGCCCATCCCAGGGCAAGCAGGGGGGCAGCTCCAGCCCTTCCCACCCGAGCTCCCGGCTCGCCAGCGCGACGAGCTGCTCCCGGCGCAGGGTTTGGAGATGGAAAGTGGGAATAGCTGTACAGGCTGTGTGCACACAGACAACCTGGCTGCCTGCCAAGGGGAGAGACAGGGAACAAGCTGCCCCCACGCTCCATAAGCAGTAATTGAACAATTACTCAAAGGAGGAAGGCTGTGGTTTCGGCAGGGCTGTGCCAGCGAGCGTGCAGAGAATGGCTCCAAACACGGGGTGCACAGCCCCGGGGGTCCCTCATCGGCCAGGGGGATGTGTGGGTTCGACCCTCCTGTGGAGGATTGATGCTGTGCCATGAGCCAAAGGTGGCTGGACACCCATCCACTCCCCACCGAGCCATGAGGCATTCGCTGGCAGGAGCTTTCTCCATGAACGCCTCGGCTTCTCCAGGGCACCACCAAACACCTGGGAAACCTCTCACTGCGGCAACTTCCCCAATAAAGCTCTGGCACATTTTTAAACAAGAAAGCACAAAGCAGCCAGAGAAGGATGGGGATCCAGGGCATCACTCCATCTCCCACTTTGAGGGGCACAGCCCCCCCGGCCAACAAGGGAACGGGAGAGGGGAGACCTGTCTCACGGAGAAGGGCTGGGGCCAGGAGAGAGAGTTTGAGCGCCTGGGAGGTACATGAGAGCACTGGGGAGACCAGTGGCAGAGGCTGCATAGTCCAGAAGGCCAAGTATTCCAAACAGGGGAAATTCAGCTGGTTTTAGTGTATCACTCTCATCCCACATCCCTTAGTACGTGCAATACTGAAACTGCTTCCCTGCTCATTCTGCAGGGTCCCAGACGATCCCGATGGATCAGGGCAGTGCCCAGGGCTGAGGCGCTCAGCAGGTCCCACAGCAGCCCCTGATAGGCACCATCACAGTCCCCATGGCACAGTCACAGCCACTGTGCCACCATCACATCCACCACAGCACCATCACAGTCCCCATGGCACAGTCACAGCCACTGTGCCACCATCACAGTCACTGCAACACTATCACAGCCACCACAGCACTGTCATATCCACCATGGCACTGTCACAGCCACCACAGCCCTGTCACAGCCACCACAGCATTGTCACAGCCACCACAGTCCTGTCACGGCCACCACAGCCCTGTCACAGCCACCATGGCACTGTCACACCCAACACAGCCCTGTCCCAGCCCTGTGGAAAGGAAGCCATTCCCACCAGCTCCTGCATCCCCAGGAATGAGTTTGCTGAGCTGCCCGGGCTCCTGACAGAGCACATGCTGAGCCACACCACAGAGATTAGCAAAACTGAGTCCCACATCAACAGCCACACTGCACAGAGAGCCAGGATGCCATGCCCCACAAGCTCAAAAACTTGTTTCTCCCAGATTTTGTGCATTTACCACAGGAATAACTCAGGAAAAAAATCCATCTCCTGTTTTATTATAGAGAGTGATTTTTGCCCAGAGAAAGAATTGATATTGCCAACCACTCTGCAGCAAATTAAACCCAGCTGGGTGCAGGTAATGGCATCCTGGCTCCAGCAGCAATGCTGTAGTTTTATTTTTGGGGGGATGGAAAGCAAGCTCCAAGCAGCTACTTCTAGAAAGACTCTGCCAAGACCAAGGTTGGCCTCACAGGCCAGTCCTCAGGACAACTCAATTTGCACCATGAGAAGAGCAATTCCCTGAACTCATCCACACAAGCACTCGTGGGCCAGTGGGACAAGGGCTGGGCAGGAGGCACCAGGCTGAGGGTACTGAGCTGGGACACAGGCCCTGGCCAGCCAGGAAAGGCTTCATGAATCTGTAATGATATAAAAGAAATCTCCTGCTGGACTTTTTGTTCTTTTTTTTTAATATATATATATATATACACACTATTTTTTATTATTAGGGAGGACATTGCAATGAGAATGGGATTTTTATCGATTCCTCGTTCCCTGAAGGCAGCTGCAATCCCTCTCCAACTGTATTCAGCAGCTGCAGGGCTCATTTTCAGGCACCAAACCAAGCACTGGAGGAAGCAGTGACACACTCAGGGGTTGGAGATCATAGAATGGTTTGGGTTGGAAGGGACCTTAAAGATCATCTTGTTCCACTTTCCTGCCATGGGCAGGGACACCTTCCACTAGACCAGGTTGCTCCAAGCCCTGACCAACCCAGCCTGGAACACTTCCAGGGATGGGGCAGCCACAGCTTCTCTGGGCAACCTGTGCCAGGGCCTCCCCACTCTCCCAGGGAAGAATTTCTTCCCAATATCCCATCTAACCCCACCCTCTGTCAGTGGGAAGCCATTCCCCCTTGTCCTACCATTCCATGCCCCGGTCAAAGTTCCTCTCCAGCTCTCTTGGAGCCCCTTTAGGCACTGGAATGTGCTCTGGGATCCCCTGATCCAGACCTCTCCCTGTGGGGTCCCAGGGCTCTCACTCAGCACTGAGGACATCCCCAACAGTGGGCCCTGGGCAAGGACCTGCTCATCCCTCAACTCATCATCCCACTGTCTCCCATCCAAGGTCTGGATGCTGCTCACGGCTGGGCAGTGGCACCACTTGCTCTTAATAAAATAATGACAATAATTTTAAAAGATTAAAACCCAAAGAAGGGAAGAAGCAATGGAATAACACGCTGTGTTTCATTCGCCTTATTTGTTTTGCAACACTGGAGGCTGACACTCATGAGTCTGCTCCTCTAATTGCTTGTGCTGATGAATCTGCATTGTTTAATTAGGGTCTGTGCATGGAGCTCATGGTTAATGGGTAATCACCAATCTGCTGCCAAGGATATCACTCCTTCCCCCAAGAAACCTGCCAGTCCCTGGGTGGAGATAATCCTCCCCACAGTGGGGATCATTTCAGAAGGGTTTGCTGGTCCCCTACACAACTCCTCAGTGCCAAGAGCAGTAATGAACAAATCTTGTGCTTAAAAGCAGAATAATCATGGAATCACAGATGGTTTTGGGTTGGAAGTGACCTTTAAAAGTCAGGGACATCTTCACTAGACCAGGTTGCTCAAAGCCCCATCCGAGTTGGCCTTGAACACTTGGAGCCTCCACCCCTAACCCATCACTAATTTAAAGCCAAGTCCAACCACTGTTCTCAGCAGCAGTACTGCCCAAAGTACTTGGCTCACCAGTGCACTCACACCACACAAACCTCCCAGATTCCAAGGGGTTTTTGCTCTCTGGAGAACACCGTTGGCTTCTCCCTGTGGGCAGAGCGACAGTCCCCGGGGCCGGCGGTGCCAGCGCAGCCCTCGCCCCTTCCCGCGGCGCCGGCACGGGGAGAAAACACGCGGAGAACTTACTGTGAGAAGGAGGAATCCATGCTGAAGTCCTCGGCGTGAGGCCTACAGAGCGAGAGCATCACAGCAGGTGAGGGAAGGCACAGCCACCCGAGGGGGGGAAACTGGCACAACCACCGAGGCTGCGCCGCCGGGAACGCCGACACCGCGGCACCGACATCGCCCCAGCGGGTCACACCACACCTCCCCATTCAGGTCCCACTGGGGGGACACCAGGGACACAGTGATGCTCTGGTGGCTTTGCCAATGTATGGCCCCTTTAAGGACTCAGCTCCGTGGATAAAAGCAATTTTTATGCCTTTTTTGTTTTTTTTTTTTCTTTTTTAAACGAGCCTCGCAAACGGCATCGCTGCTCTGCCACTAATCAGCGTCACGCCTTCTCTGCAGAGAAATTAGGCTTTGGGAGGTCGGTGTTTTTAGGGGCTGGGGGTGCTTTTAGAGGAACTCAGTGTCGTGTTTCTCCTGGGCTGGTTTTACAGGCACGAGTGATGAGCAGAGAAGGGAAAATAAAACAGCATAAAAATAAATCAAATCAAATAAAATCAAATAACAGAAAGGAATAATGAGGGTAACGGGGGGGGTGAGGGCAGGGGAAGAAAGAAGAACATAAAGAAATATGAGAGCGGGTGGGAGGCAAAGGGCCTGTGCTCGTGTACTGTACATCCCACAGACAGACAGACAGACAGCACACAGGGCTACGAAATACAGCAATTACAGCTGCAAAAGGAAAAATTCCCTTTGCAAAAGTGATGCTCTTCCAGAGATCCCTGGGATGGCTCTGGGTCCCCATCACCACCAGCATTAGCTGAGCCTGAGCCCTTTTCTGCTCCAGCAGTGCCCTGAACCTGCCTGAGCCTCAGCCCTTCCCTGCTCCAGCAGTGCCCTCTCTCCTCTCCTTATTTACCACAAGCCAGGACAACCGAGAAATATCATCCAAGCCAACGGGGCACTTGCAGCTCATAAAGATTTTTCTTGTATTTTGCTTTTGCTTTATGAGGCCACAGCACTCCAGCACTCCAGCACAGTGCAAAATAAATAAAAGCAATAAATCCACATTTCAGTGAAAATGGGAGTCCAAAGGAAGCGGATCCATCCCTCAGCTCCCGGGCACGCGGAGCAGCCTCCCTGCGACGTGATTTACTTTGCTGCTGCTGCTCCTCGGCTCTGATCCGTGTGAGGGCTGCAGGGGGGAGCTCAGAGGGAGCACAGGATGTGCCCACCGGAGCCACCACCCTGGGGGACACCGACAGCAATGTCCCCACACCTCAGATCTGGGAAAGCCCCAGGAGATGCTCCATTTGGGAGAGATGCCGGGGCCTGGCGGGAGGGAGCGGGGATTCGATGTGGGGCGAGGTGATGCCATCTAGACACAGCCCCACCTCCCACGACAGGAGGTTGCAAGGTCCCCAACCCTAAATGGGGAGTTCCTGGGGGGCCGTGGGGCAGGAGGGGTTGGGGACAAATAGGACAAACCTTGTGCTTATCAGTTCCCCTAAAAGCAGCATAATCGGGGAATCCAAGGATGGTTTGGGTTTGGAAGAGACTTTAAAGCTCATCTCGTTCCACCCCCTGCTATGGGCAGGGACACCTTCCACTAGACCAGGCTGCTCCAAGCCCTGTCCAACCTGGCCTGGAACACTTCCAGGAATGGGGCAGCCACAGCTTCTCTGGGCAACCTGTGCCAGGGCCTCACCACCCTCACAGGGAAGAATTTCTCCCCAGTATCCCATCTAACCCTGCCCTCTGGCAGTGAGAAGCCATTCCCCCTTGTCCTGTCACTCCAGGCCCTTATCCAAAGTCCCTCTCCAGTTCTCTTAGAGCCTCTTTAGGTACTGAAGGTCTCTCCAGAGGCTTCTCTTCTCTGGGCTGAACACCCCCAGCTCCTGACCCTCTCCCACCTGCCTCTCACCCCTCTTCCCTGCTCATTTCCAGTTTTCTTTTGTGACCCTCCCGGAGCAGTGAGTTCACACCAAGTGGTCCCTCATGCTGTCTCTCACAGCAAGAACAAGCCCCAGGGTGGGTCTATCAGCTGTGCTGTCCCTTGGAGCAGTCCTGGCATTTATTGGTGACAACCATCCCAGATTTTCTCCGGTTGCAGACCAGAGGCAGGCACAGCCCGCGGGAAGGAGCTCGCCAGCTCAGCCTCCCTCCTGCCAAATTGGATTATCCCACGTTAGCAGCAGGGGCTGCTCAAGCCCCTCCACTTGTGTTTGGTTTTGAACAGTAGCCTTTTATGCCTCGCAGAGATGTTTATGGGGAAAGAATCAGCGGATGATTTGGTTTTCTCCTAATCTAGAGCCAGCTGGCAGCCGGGAAGGGGCTCATTCCAGCTGCAGCTCCCCAGTGCACAACAACACTCCTGAAAACCAAACAGCAGAAGCACATTTAATCCCACAGCCCGATGGGGTCCTGTAGACCCTGCAGGTCTGGCACTACTGTGGGTTCCAGAGCACTGGGATGAGCCAGCAGGATTCCCAGGACACCTTCCCCAGACTCCTCCTTCCCACCAGGCACCCAAATTCTCATAAACAGTCCAATCGCTGAGAAAATATGGAAATTTTTCTAAGAAAACTAAAAATCGTTCCAAATCTCATCTGGAAAACAGCTGTTTTCCAGATCCCAAAACTTATTATCAGTGATTTACAACAGACAGAACTAAAACCATTTAACGGCGTCAGAAAGGTTGCACTGGCTTTTAATGCGTTTTAGATAATCTGCTTCAAATTCACCTTTTTATTTCATCCAGATCTGCCTCCCTGGGTATCCCTGTGCAGACAAACCTCAACTCATCTCATTCCTACCACGGAAAATAACCATGGCACAGGCTGTGAGCCCGACCTTCGCTCCCTCCTGGAGTCTGGGGCCTGGGAGACAAATGCCATACCCAGACAGGGAAAGCTGAGGCCCCTTGCCCTGGTGTTGCTAAGCATTAAATCACAATGCCAAGCTCCTGGCTGGCACAAGCAGCACCTCCCAGAGAGAAGGGCAGAGCAGGAAAGGATGGGAGAAAGGAGAGGAGCAGAGGGGGAAGGAACTTTGCTGCTCCAGAGACACATCAGCCCCCACCTTTCAAGCTGCAGCCCCTTACAAAAAAGAAAGGTTTTATTAGAAGGTGAAGACACAAAGGCACATTTATTATTAGAACAAAAGCCATAATAAACCTTGCTTATGTAAAAGAGAGAGCAATCACCTGCCCACCCATGCTGGAGGCAGCTCCTCAGCTGAGCAGCCACCTTCCACCTCATCTGCCTCCTCAGCTCCGGCTCCAGCACACCCCAGCAAAGCAGTTCTGCTCCCCTGAGCTGGGCAGGGATGTGAGCAGCACCCCTGGGCTCCAGTACCCCAAGAATTTGGGTAGCAGAACCAGCCCCCTTCTCTCCAGGGGAGGAAGGCAGCCACGCCAAGCCCCAGCTCTGCTCCCAGCTCTGCCAGGGCACTGCGGGATCCAGGTGGCATTTGGCTCGTCTGCCTCATGCAGATAATTTGAGGCTAAAAACTGTCCCTGCCTTTCAAGTGCTCGAGGATGCTCAGATGGAGAGAGCAGCAAAGCACAGCAGCAGCTCAGCCCAGCTCACAGAGAGAGCCCTGCTCCCTCCCAGCAAACTCCCTGCCAGCCCTGTGCCTTCCCTGCTGTCTCTCGGATTTTTGGTAAATGAAGAGTATTAAAAATTCACCCCTGGTTCTGCATTTCCTATTCAATTTACAGCCATCATTTCCAAACAAAAAAAAAAAAACCAAACAAAAAACAAAATCATGCCTTGACTTAAAGCCTTTGAGAGTTAAAAAGACACAAGTAATGACCTGCCAACACCACGCTTGGCTTCAGGCTGCTTAATCACCACTTGCAGAGGTGTTTGGAGACCAGGGCAAAAAGGTATTAAATCTGATGGTTTTCTCCTCTGGCCATGGGAAGGATTTAATGCCTTTTCACCCTGATCTCAAAATGCCTTCAAGATGAGGTCAAGGCAGGGGGGGTTAAGATGAGCCAAGCAAGGTAAGTGCTTGGGAAGGCTTCCTGAAGTGCTGCTCATGCTCTAAAGACATGAGCTGCACCACGGTTCCTACCATATTGACAGTGAGAAACTCAGCCCAAAATAGCCTGATGTGAGAAGGACAGATGGAAGGAGATGAAAAAAGAAAGTAAAGAGGGGGAGAAGGAACGAGCAAGAGGAAGGGGAAAGGGAGAGGAAGGTGCACACGTCCTGCTCACAAATGCATGCGAGAGGGGAGGGGAAGGGCAGCCCACCTTCCCAGCTGCAGGATGGAGCAGGGATGACCCCAGGAAAGGGATTGAGCCCCCAGCACCCCTGGTTTGGAGGTGTGCTGGTGGGCACCTGGAAAAGCCACCAACTGCTCCAGGCAGGTGCTGACAGCTGGAAAAGTGCCACATGGACAAGCCCTTCCACGACCAGAGGCAGAGCACTTGCACAGGCAGGGAGGCAGCCTGGGGCTCAGCTGCCTCCTCAAGGTACTTCCCTAATCACAGAGGTACTTTTCCTTGGCTTTCCTCTGCAAAACCCCTATCACAACTAAAATACAGAAAGTTTGGAAGCAAACAGGCGCGGTGCCAAAGCCGCAGCGTCGCTCGCTGCAGCCGGACAAGCTGTTCCCAGCCCACTGTCCAGCACTGCCTGCAGTTCCCTTCCAGGAAGTTGTGCCTCCCCCAGAATCATAAAATCATAGGTTGGAAAGGATGTCCAAGATCATCAGATCTGATTGTTCCCCCAGCACTGCCAAGCCCACCACTGTCCCATGTCCCCAAGCGCCACAACCACACGTCATGTAAATCCCTCCAGGGATGGTGACTCCACCACTGCCCTGGGCAGCTGTGCCAGGCCTGGACAACCCTTTTGGTGAAGAAATTTTGCCCCAAATCCAACCTAAATCTTCCCTGGCACAGCTTGAGGCTGTTTCCTCTTGTCCTAGTGATTGTTACTTGGGAGAACAGACCAATCCCACCTGGCTACAACCTCCTTTCACTGCCAAGACTGGGCACTGGGCAAAAATGCCCTCAGATCCTGAGGCTGCTCTAACACACAGCTCCC